AAGGTATTTAAATAAGGTTCCAGGCTAACAAGCACCTAATAGTATTAATCATCATCTCCTTTTAACAACCCCATAATCCCTTGCAGGGTAGAATCTGGGCAACTGAATGGAGCTAGCAGAGTTGTTTAAATGGCCGGATGACCTTCCTGTCGCCAGTGTGGAGTTTTGTTCAGCAGATATACTCACAGTGTGCCCAGAGAGAAATATCTGCCTCTACCTAGGATCGAACTCACAGCCTCCTGATTGTGAGGAGAGAGCTTCACCTCTAGGCCACCGCACCACTCCTACCTAATAGTATTAATAAGACTTATTAATTATGAACAATTATAATAAATGAAATATTTTTAAGATGCTTGATCTATAGCAAAAAAAGGAATAAGCAGGGAACAAATACTGCAGAAAAATCCAATGTGCTGGTGCTCATCTATACAGCCCATCATGCCATAGGACAGGGCTGCTTATGGGACCACCCCCTCGTTTTTACCTACACTAGGCAGAGGCACGTTGCACGGCTTGTTAATTAAGAAATGTCATCTGGCAGGACCATGAAGAGAGCCTTTTTGTCATTGTGCCCATCCTGTAGAACAGGGGTCTCAAACACAATTTACCTGGGGGCCGCTGGAGGCAGAGGCTGGGTGAGGCTGGGCCGCACATAGAAGTGTTTAGCCAGCTAGCGACGCATGGAGAACACACTAATATTATACTTTCATATCACGGTGGGGGCCACAGGATATCGTCCTGCGGGCCGCAATTGGCCCGCGGGCCGCGAGAATGAGACCTCTGCTGTAGAACATCATCCCCCTAATGGCCCAACTCTTGCCGGCCTTTCACAAAGATGGCTATAGTTGGGTTGTCAATCAGAGCCTGTGAGGTAGTTATATTCGTTGTAGTTTGTTTTTATCTCTGCTGTCAGTTATGGATTTTATTTTTATGGTTGGTTGTGTTTTTTTAAAATTATAGTTAGCTGCCCAGAGCTACCATGTGGAGATAGGTGGGCATATTAATTGAATTAAATGAACGAATAAGCCAGGAAGCCCTGGATATTCAATCCTCAGTGGGAGTTTTGACACTCTGGATGCAGAACTGATTTGCTTCAAAACAAAGGAGAGGAAGGCAGATCTGAAAACAAGCAGTTTGCTGAATTACACACAAATTCAGACCGTGCAGCGTTTTATTCCCAGTAGCAGAACTAGATACAGATGCGGAAATGCCTAGCAGGGATCAAGTCTGGATGATACGCTGTCTGCAGGCTACAGATCTCTAATGCGTTCATTTCCTGCCTCTCGAGTTGATCTCTTTGCCTAAGCAATTGTGCAGATTGACTTTAATTCCCTTTGCATAATCAGAAATATGTTTTTTTTTTTCATTTTCATTCCTGATATCATACTGGAAACTTTTATACTGCCTGTCCTAGCAAAGAAAGCTGCTGTGTCACTTTTTGGGCATTACATGCTTGCATTTCTGTTCCAAGTGTTTTTGCAGATCTCACCCCAGAGTAGAATAGATTTGTTTGGCTATGGAGCTTTGCTACCATCTGCTGCATTACCAACATATTCCACCTTTTCATCAGCAGGCCAGTCAAGGAAAATCGGGCAGGGGATTTTATTAATATGAATTTATTTGGCCTCTATCCTGTACTTAATGTGCCTCCCATACCACTTCAGGATGGAGACTGAGAATAAGCATTCTATTTTTCCCCATAAATCAGGGATGTTAAACTTGCTGCCCGGATGCATCATGTGCTGGCCCTGCCCTGCCTGGTTTAGCAAAGGGGGGGGAAGGCCCGATACGTCACATGATGCTGTGAATTTGACCTGCCATAAATCATTGCTCTTGAGCTACAATGGATGGGTTTACACAATTAATAATCTAGCACGTGTGCCGGAAGTCACACACAGAGCCACTTCTGCCGACACGTGAAAGGTTGCCCAGAAGAGCCCCACATGTGCATGTGCCGCCATCCGACAGCTGATTGTCAGGTATCTGGCACGCATGCACGGGGGTGGGGGTGCGTGGGAGACGTGTGCGCATGCATGGGAGACATCGGGGGTAGGATTCTACCAGTACTCACCTATTCGCTAGAACCAGTTGTTAACATTCTAAGCAGTTCAGAGAACCGGTTGTGAGAAGAAATTACTGGCCTAATCCTGTAAGGAAGGCAGGAAGGAAACATTCTGGTGTTGCTTACAGAAACTGCCTCTCCTTTATCCCTTATTACATTCTTGACAGGACTAGACTTCCTGTCTCAGGAACGTCTCTGGAGTTTTTTTCCTCTCCTTTGCTGGTATTTTGCTTGTGTGGAGTGACCATTCAAAGTTACAATGGCACTGAAAAAAGTGACATGACCATTTTTCACACTTACGACTGTTGTGGCATCCCCACAGTCATGAGGCCAGGCGAGGAGATGCGTGCCTCAATGTGAGTGATATTGAGTTGGCCACACCCAGCCAACATGACCAAACCACGCCGACCAACTAAACCATGCCCACAAAACCAGTTGTTGAAAATTTTGAATTCCACCCCTGGGAGACATGCGCACATGTGCAGAGATGCATGGCATGTGGGGGATCATGTGCACACATGCAGAGGTGTATGCCGTGCATGGGGGGGTCATGCACACATGCACAGGGGGCATGGGGGGGTAGCACACATTGCCTTTTGGGTGCTGGCTCGCGAGTGTGTGAGCGCAATTTTCGGCATGGGACCCAAAAAAGGCTAGCCACCACTACTCTAGGTCATGATTTGAAGCAGAACCTATATGGGTAAGTAAGCCTTCAAACCCTATCCAACAAAATGAAATGTAATGTGGAGAAAAGCAAGGTTTTACACCTGGGCAGGAAAAAACCAAAGGTAGAAGTACAGATTAGGTGAAACAGTAAGAGGGGGATCTGGAGTCTTAGTGGACGATCACTTAAACATAAGCCAGCAGTATGCAGCAGCAGCCAAAAAAGCTAATACAATCCTTGCTTGTATAAACAGAGGCATAGAATCAAAATCATGTGAAGTATCAGTGCCACTTTATAAAGTCTTAGTAAGAGCTTAGTAAACCTTAGTAAGACCACTCCTGGAATACTATATCCAGTTTGGTCACCATATTACGAAAAAGATGTTGAGACTTTGGAAAAAGTGCAAAGAGCAGCAACTAAGATGATTAAAGGCCTGGAGATAAAAACATGAAGAAATGGTTGCAGGATTTGGGTTTGGTGGTTTAGAGGAAAAAAGGACTAGGGGTGATATGATACCAGTATTTCAGTATTTGAGAGGTTGCCACAAAGAAGAGGGGATCAAATTATTCTCCAAAGCACCAGAGGGCAGGACAAGAAACAATGGATGGAAATTAATCAAGGAGAGAAGCAACCTGGAATTAAGGAGAAACTTCTAAACAGCTGGGACAATTAAACAGTGGAACAGCTTCCCTCCAGAAATTGTGGGTGCTTCCTCACTAGAGGTTTTTAAGAGACAGGGCAGCCACTGTCTGGAATGTGGGTGCTTCCTCACTAGAGGTTTTTAAGAGACAGGGCAGCCACTGTCTGGAATGGTATAGGATCAACTGCTTGATCAGGGAGCTAGACTAGAAGACCTCCAGGGTCCCTTCCAGCTCTATTCTGATTCTGATTCACTCTAGAAATTTGAGGGGAAAAAAGAATATTGGGGAGGGTATGTGTTTACATGTTAATAGGGAATTTTAACTTTCTTCAAATAGACTTCGTTAAAAAATGTTCCACTCATAGTGAAGAAGTTAAATTTCTAGGCAAATACCCCAAATCTCAGTTTATCATGAATTCCTTCAAACAGGAAGCTAGCTTAGTTTAAATGCAAGCAATGTATAGGATCTAGTCTGTTTAGAAACTCTTGAATCAAATAGAAACTAATCATAATACATAAATGTATATACAGTAAGCGTCTATATATAGTAAGTGTATGTGGTTTTATACACAGTTACATGGCAATTCACTAACAGTAACATTTCATAATCAGGAATTTAAAAAAAATAAACGGAGGAAAGTTTGAAATAAAGAGGGCCAAGTCAGTGCAAAAAACTCTGCACTGTATAATAGTGTAAGTGTATATAATCAATATGACAAATTGAACCCAGACCATAAACTGCAAATGAGGAATTATATAATTACTGACATAATAGGGAGTGCATCACTTTGAAAATAATTTAGCAAATATGCAGTGCATAGTTTTCTTCTGCAGCTGCAATATAATCTTGGGGGAAAAATGCAACTGCTTTCAAGGGTTGCATAATAAACATAACTGGGGGTGAGGGAGTTAGTGGAAAGGCACCAAGAAATTTTCTAACTGAAGAGTTGAATCTTGGTTTTCCACATTTTCTCATGAGGTTTCAGCTAGCAAGTAATCTGAAAAAGACAAATAGACAACCTACATGCATTGCATGCCTTTCAATTATTTTTGACATCTGCACTGAACTGGTTTTTTTAAAAAATTATATTAAAAAAACCCTTATAATAATCAACTATTTGACTGTTACGGAATTAGCTCAATCTTCATATTATTCCTCAAGAGATGCTTTAAATCTTTCCACCGATAATTGTGTCAAAGGAAAAGTTGGTACTACATTTAACTATCCGACTGAGAATACTAAAAGTGACCCTTAAAGAACAACCCAAGCTACAAATAAATAAAATTCCAGACATGGAGATAACTTTATTACTTGGAAATGTTTCCTTCAGGGGACAAAAAACACTTACCAATTATAATAAACACATCAGCTTAACAGCTGAATACTGAACATGCTTTACATCCTTGGAGAATTAAACTGGCTTATTCAAAGACGAAACAGAGGAAGAATAATTCCTTCAGCACAGCATAGTCCTCAAGCGTGACCCCACCTCACCCTTTCTCTCCTGCATATCTGAATTTGTTTTAAAGGTTATTTAACTTCCAGCCCACAAATGCTGAAAAAGCTGTAAGAAAGGACTTTTTGACTTTAGATTGCTTACGTAGTACCTGCTTTGTAAACAGACAACTTTTCGCAAAAGGACAACGCAACAAGGAACAGGTACATTTAGAACTTTATCTCCCCCTTCATTGTGTGACAACTCATTCTGCCTGAAGGCTTCTTTCAGTGGAGGTTGTGTTGACCAGAGAGAGACTGTTGAGAGAGAAACTCAACAATAAAATCCAGATGTTTGCCTGCAGGGAGAAGTATCTCCATTTCAAGAAACCTAAACTAGCTTTAGATTCAACAGAGCTCTTAGGGGCAATAGCAGCAGATGAGCTAGCAGAAAGTCCCGGAGGTTAGTAGCAATTTCCCATAGACTGGACTGCACAGAATGAAGCCAGACTGCTTTCAAGGACACCTACTGATTCTCCATACAGATCACGTTAAAGCAAATATGCATTAATTTCAATGCTTCAGTATGGAAGTCCCAGTTGTCAGTATGTAGCCATTGTTGAAACAAGAACAGGTGCCTGAGAAGCTTGTTTCAATCAGTTAATACAGTCCTGGTTAAATGTAAGACAACTTGACCAACGGAACAACCTCTTTGCATATCCTTGTCTCGGCACTGAACAGCAATAGCACTTAAGACTTTATACACCGCTTCACAGCCCTCTTAAGCAGTTTACAGAGTCAGCCTATTGCCCCCAACAATCTGGGTCCTCATTTTACCCACCTCGGAAGGATGGAAGGCTGAGTCAACCTTGAGATAGCCAGGATCAAACTGCTGGCAGTCGGCAGAATTAGCCTGCAATATTGCATTGTAACCACTGCACCACCATGGGTCTTCAAAGACAAACACGACCCTTTTCAAAACATTCATAAAAGTTCATATCAAAGCTGGGGGTAGAGAGGAAGAAATATTAACTGAGTTAATTCTCTGTAGCAGAGGCAAACATACCTACATAGAGCCAAAGAACCTGATTCCCAATGGCTGGAAGACCTTTTAAGGAAACAGGAAAACCACGAACAAGCAGGGGAGATGGCTGCTTACTGGCCACAGCATCTTTTAACATCTTTGGAAGAAAATGTGATTTCCCCCCCCCCCCCATACAGAAAATGCAAATGGAAAAACAAGCAATGCTATGGTCTGTGAGTTTCCCATTACATACATCAAAACTTGGACAGGGTTCAGAAAAGAATGACAAGTAATTCCTAGTTTTTATGAGAATATAAAGGAAGCTTTAAGAAGGGGAAGAGAGATATTTTATACAAAATTCAACTGCTCTAAGCCTATTTCATAAGCCAACTGCACTGTATTCTACTTATCAGCCAAGGGCATACACTACTGTCTTTGCAAGGAAATATGTTTTTTCTAAAGCTTTTCAAACCTAAAAATATCTTATTTTATTAAAACTTTTTTTAAAAAAACCTTGTGATTTGTCAACATAATAGGTGGTTAAGGCAGAGTCACCAGCTATGTCAAATGGCCACTGAGTCTTCCTCCTTGAGGATTAATTTTGATTAACCAAAAATATTGTCAAAATGACTTTTTTGTGGTAAAAAAAGAAAGTGTTGTCAGAAACTTTTCTGAGAATGTTGTGTCTTGGGAAATAGATCTAAAAGGAAACAGATGAAAAATGATAGCTGGCAGAATTTCTTGGCTTTATGGCATGCTGATGGAAACTGCTGCAAGAATCCACATGTCCTGAAATACTGATAAAAATGAGATTTTATTCTAAGATCTAAGCAAAAAGTTTCCCCCAGGGAAAGAAATTGACAACTATGCTAGGAGCGGCACCTTCCCCTACAGGATTATCTAATAAACTTCTAAGTCTTAGTCTTTAAGCTATTAGGAATAAGATAACTAAACTAACTTTACATAATTACTTCTTTTTCCTGCCAATTAGTTGCGTATGAAGCTTGATGTGTCTAATCAAGCAACATTAGGGAACAGGATAGAGTTCAGGCTAGGCAAAAGGGATTCTTTGGCTCTTTCACTCTGGAAGAATAGTCTCTCAAATAACCACCTCACATAACAAGCAATTTAAAACAGAAAAAAAAAACCTATTTGCCATGGGATCCAAATTTTGTGAGAATTAGCTGCTGTTCAAAAATCTGGGCTTCAACTCTTCCTGGGTATTCAAAATTAGCTAAAAGGGTTTTTTTTTAAATTATTATTAGAATGAAAAAAGGCTTTTTTTAAATTTTACACTTGTAAAAGCAAGCCAGCTGTAGAAGTAACCTCTTGAGTTGGGATCCAAAGAAGTAATAGAAGAAAGCATTTTTCCTCCTTATTTCTAGATGGAGGGAAAGGCTACATCAGAAGGGATCGTCCAATTTTGGGCCCAATGTTTGTCCCGGCATTGCAGACTGGTAACTCATCGAAATTCTGGATTTCACTGTGTCATAGGCAAATTAACCCTTTGCACCTCCCGCACCTGTTCCAGAGGGACAGGTAAAGCATTTCTGTTACCACGCTTTAAACTTGTCCCACTGAAAGATTCAGAAACAATTTTTCACCATCTCAAAATGATTCTGAGTCTTGCTTCTCTTGGGAGGTAGAAGAGGAGGGCTTTCCCACCTCTCCTGCCCACCAGCGTATTTGAATATCAGGCATCCATCCAGGATCTCCAGAAGATGAGCTTGCTGGCAAGAGCTATGACTGCTCTGCTTCAGAGGCTGGTTTTGCGATGCGTTGTCTCACTGGATTGGGTGGAGGAACAGGGTACCATGGATCTCCACGGTCCATTTCACCATCAAGATTGACTCCATCAAGTCCTTCATTTTTTTTTTTCAAATGCTGAGCAGATTCTACTAGCTTTCCTAAAAAGAGAAGAAAATTCAGCATTGCCATTTATCTCTTTAGATGGTAAAGAAGCAGGGTGAACAATCTGCATACATGGGATGAAATCGACTACTACTATCCGCTCTGGTCAGATATCTTTAACAGTATCTCCAGAGTTCTCAGAAATCATGCTGCCAATTTTAACAAAAAGGTTGGATTGTAATTATCATTAAATTCAACTAAGCAAATCTTATGTTAAGACTGTGGAAGGTAACAATCCAACTAAATCAGGAGCCCGAGTTTAGAAGCAATCGTTTTAAAAAACAAAATTTGTGTGGGATTTTAGCTTCATTAATGCAAGTATTACATTCCAGTTCTGCAGAAGTCATGCAGCAAAAAGCAACTTGCAGAATACCTTGTGTTTTTAAAGCAGAGCTCAAACATTAATTTGGTTTTTAATTCATGCCTATGGAAATCTACTCAAAGGACATTTTCACTGATAAAAATGAATTGAAGACAATCAATTTCCATTCATTTTCCTCTGGAATTTTCTATAATCACTCTAGAACCAGAGAGTTGGGTGTCCCTGAAGTTATAAAGCAGACCAAAAAAGGGAAAAATACATGCTTCTGGCTCTAGAGAGACAGTTGCTGTAATAATTAAGTGGCTCAAGCATAATTAGGCTTCAAATCTATCCTGAACTATGGATTGGGTGACTTTGGGCCAATCTCTTTTGCACCATTTAATTCCTGGAATTTGCTGCATAGATAAAATTAAGATTCCCAAGTATTGAATTCATGGAGGAAAAGAAGGATATAAGTCTAAGAAATAAACAAAGTATTTCCCCTCAGTTCTGTCTGTAAACAAAGAAGTAAGTCAGGATTCAAACCATTGCATGGATAAGATTCTGAAATGAATTTTATAAGGCTAGGTACTGAATGTCAATCCTACATAAAAGGGTGGGAAAGAACTGGTTGCTAAAGCCCTCTCATGATTTCTTGTAGGTGAAATTTACACTTGCTAAAATTTTGCTCTCCAGTTGGGTCCTGCCCAGGGGAATTTCACTACTTCTTCTGAATACGAAGAAGGAATACAAGCTTTAGGTCTCAGAACATCATTCTAAGTTGTACAACCTTGCTAGAACCAGAAAATAGTTAATTTTTATCAAACTTGGGGGAAACTATTCCCTCCTTATCTGCCGTTTACTAACGCATCTTCAGACAAAATGAGAAACCTTCTGCGGCTCTTGCTGAAATACCCAATCAGACACTTCTATCTCCTTTTAAGAGAGCCTGCCTCCCTGTTCTTTCTGGTTTAGGAATAAGATCTAGGACAGAGCAGAGGGTACACTTGATCACTGAGTGGTGCTGTTGAAAGTGGGCAGTGCTAAGAGAAATACAGTTAAATGCCATTACTTAATTAATGGGTAGTTTAGTCAGATTTTTACAATAATTTTGGAAAAGCTTGGGTAACATATTAAGGCAGGAAAATAAAATGAAAGATAAAACCACACAAAAGTGATAATTTCAATACTGGCTCAATGCTTAAAGCTTCCTTTTCTTATCTCAATCTGAGAAGAAATGCACCTGGCATGCAGCAATATACTTACTTTGATGAGGATGCTGGTATGGCCTTTGCTTTTTAGAGGGACACACACAATCAGCCAGAAACACCATTATCTGAAAAGAAAACCAACATTCTTCAGTACTGCATTCAAGCTTTATCTTCTCCTTTTAATTCTGTGTGCAAAGAGACATGTTTACTTACAAGGCCTAGCAGCAACCCCGAAAACAAAGTTACAAATGCAAAAATTGCATAGGACCCCCAGTTTGGTATACCAAGGTTTTCTGTGAAGTAAGTGTGACATTGCTGAAAGGGAAAAAAACCACAAATTTGAGAATTAGCTGGACAGCAACTCTGTAAGCTGCCCGGAATCACCATGAGTGAGTTGGGCAGCCACAGATATTATTTATATAATAAATAAACTCAAACCTAATCTCCCTTCTGACTTAGAGGAAGATGTGGTACGTACCCTAATCCACATGGAAAGCTGAAATAAGGCAGACATGCTGCTCATCCTGCAAAGAAACACACGAGGAAAAAAAGGGGGGTAATTCTACAGTCAAAGAGGCAAAAAATAAAATCTACAATTAAAGAACTTTCAGTGGATTTCAGTGATTTAAGCAGCCCATTTGAGATTCAGCATTCAACTTTTTATTAAGGTTGCTCATGCAATTTCCATCTGACTGCAATGGAATCAATTCCCATGTTCAACTATAAAGGAAACCCAATTGTAAATGATTCCTATTGGAAGAAAAAGTGGGAGACATCTAAAGAAATCAGTGGAGAAGCAGAGTTTTCTGCAATGCTCAAAAGAAGAAGAAAAAAGGACCTTCATAGCAAAAGTATGAAGAAGGCAATAATCAAAGGGGAAAATATGGTAATTACACAATGAGCTTGAAACATGCAAAAGTTTCCAAAAATAACAACTTAAGGGGGTTAGGGGCATGTTAGAAAAAATAGATTCTGTTATGAAGAGAAAGGGATGAATTAGGCAACAGGTAAAAGAGAGAAGGTAGACTATCTTAATTAAGATTTTAGTTTCCCCCCCAAAGGGAAACAAAGCCTTTGCTGGCCATCATTGTGCCACTAGTGAAATGAAGGAGAAGCAACTCAGATATACAAGAAGAAACATTTAAATGAACTCAAATCTCCAAGGCCAGAGAAATTATGTTCTTGGCATTCAAAGAACTGGCAAAGATATTTACAGAGTTCCTGGAAAAATGGTGAGATCCCATTCCAAAAGACTGCTGGAGTGCAAAACTTCAAACAAGGAGGGAAAGACAACTGAGGGAATTAAAGATCTATCAGTTTGATGTTTTACTGGACAGGATCCTCAGACTATTAAACAGCGTATTTGATAGCTCTGGATATGAATGTAACAATTAATAAGCGACAGTATGGGTTGGACACAAAACCAGTTGCTTTTATTGACAGAATTACTTACTTTTAATGCATTGGGGACACAGCTTGTACATAGTGTACTCTAACCTTAGCAAAGCATTTAGATGTCATCCTTTCTTTTCAAACTTAAACACACCCAACTCCTCTTCAAAGGATTTCTAGTCCTCTAGCCAAATTCATTGGCTTTCTTTCTTTGAGCCTATTTTATTTTTTTTAAGTGAGGTGCTCACAACTGGGCCCAGTACATGAGGTGGTAATGGAGCGGTGCAAAATAAAATGGAACGATTGGTTATGACCTATTTTGTTACCCTAAGCTTCTTAAAGGAAAAGAATGAAAATATAAAATAAATGAACTCAATCGAGATCATAACTGTTTTCAAAAATCATTAGTTTAGATCTTAACTTGATATCAGCTTCATAGTGAGAGAGAGGGAGAGAGAGAATGAAAATGAGAGAGACAGACAGACAGGACTAAAATTTCCCAGGTAGCTTGCCTAAATCTGTGCTGATGACTACAGTGATGATTAACTGGATTCATCTAAAGTCAGAATTCAAGCGTTGACATTTATTTGCCAAGCCTATTAGAGAGCAGAAAGATTTCTGCTGATACTTACAGAAATGAAGATGGCCCAAGCCACGAAGAAACAGGCTCAACAGACTTCCATTCTCGCTCACTGATGAAATTGATGAAGTCACTTTTGGTTCGGGGACCTTGGTACCGTCTAAATTCTCCATCTTTACAACTGTCCAAAGTAAGAGCCATGTCAAGCACTTAAAATTCTTACAATCTCAACTTTTTGCTTTTACATGTTAATATATAACTAGCCATTTCTATAATGCCAAACCTTTCTAATCAACAAAACCAAAGTTTCATTTTTTTCTTCACAAGCACAAATTCCAGAAATGATATCCACATAAAAACATATTTTCCTCTTTAAATAAAGTATTCAATTTAACCATTAAAAATTTCTCACAATGTCTCACCTAGCAACACTGTAGACAAGATCACCTAATGAATTTATTTTATTTAACATCCTGTCTTTATTACTTTTATAAACAATTTAAAGTGACAAGCATCTAATATTCCTTCCTTCTCCTATTTTCTCCAAAACAACAACCGTGTGAGGTGGGTTGGACTGAGGGAGTGACTGGTCCAAAATCACCCAGCTGACTTCCATGGCTACAAATCCTGGTCTCACAGTTTCTAGCTTGGCATCTGAATCACTACACCAAACTGGCTCAATTACCATGGGTTATATTTCCATCAACAACCCTGATCCTTTTAAGGATAAGACTGTATTAAAACAAGATAACTAACTGATTTCAAATGTTTAAATGAGATATTGTGATTTAATCTCAGCTGGCTAAGGGACAAAAACTTAGGTGAAATTATAAATCTATTCTTACTTCTGCAAGAGGCCTTTATAAAGTAAGATAAACCATAGTTCTTTCCTTTCTTTTTTTCTTTCTCTCTCTCTCCTTCTTAGCCACCCATCTCTCTCCACAATATCTCCTTCCTTTACTGCTAACAGGAAAAGCTAATTATGTAACAATCTACTGTATTTCTAGATTAATGACAAAATGGAACTTAACTGATATAACTTTAAAGTTTCATTCCCTTAATGATTTTAAATTCCAGGTCTTTTATCATTTTCCAAACAGCTACTTTCATTGAATTAAATCTACTACGATAGGAAAAAAAATATTTTTTTTTGTTTTGCTTTTGAGGGAAAAACCACCGGAGTTACAGCAACTCAATTAGTTTTAAGGTACTTACTGGTAAATGGTGGGAAGTGCTGTTATGACAAACCTTCCACTTAGTCCTATATAAAGATTCAAAGAGAATATGAGGAGTTCATTAGGGTAGAGGTAACCAGTCAAGGTTTCAAGGTAACCAGTCACAAATACATTAACTTTGCTCAAGTTAAGTTTTCTCATTTTAATTATGTATACAATTGCAGGTGACTTAAAGAAACAAAGTTATAAGTAACAATACTGAAGACTACACTACTCCATCCCATCCCCAGCATCCTACAAACAATATATTACCAACAGCAATACTCAGAACTCGATCAGTAAAAACCATCTGTTTCGTATATATTATATTGTTTTTATGAAAAATTCAACAGGTAGACAAAAATGGAACTGATCAGAACTTTTCAGGTGATGAAATTAATACTTCACTTTTCAAACATGTTATCAGCCATTATCCCAATCAGTTTCTACCAAGCTATTGAAGTGCTATATTCTGTTACCAAGCTAGTACATTATTCAATTTTCCCAGCTCATATCTTGCTATTTTCAAATTTGTAACAATAGCAGTACGCATGTTTCAGCAAACCAGCAGTTGTCATTGTTTCTATATCACAACAAAAATTGGGAGTTCCTAGTTCCATGTAATTTGCTCTAGGCTACATAGTTCATGAGAGGAATAATTTTGAATGCAAAATTTTCCACATATAACCCTTGCCACTAAATTATATATCCCATTAAAGGAATTTTCCTCCAAAAATCTTTCATCAGTTTGTCAACTAAGCAGAAGGCTCAGAGGGATAAAGGGGAGAATTTATAATCCTATTTTATCTATCCTCAATCCAGGCATGCTAGTCCTCCAATCTGACTCCTGAAAGAGTTTTCAACATTAATTTACTTCTCACTAAGAAATTCCCAAAAAGTTTCCAAAGAATTACCAGGATCCTCAGAACACAGCTTGAAGCCATCTGATGGGGAAAGCCTGAGGCTACATACACACTACATCATGAATACACTGAATGTAATTTGCCTACAGTTGGCATCAGGAAAGATGGGCAGCATATACAGGTAAAGGCAAAGGTATGTATGTATGTATGTATGTATGAATGAATGAATGAATGAATAAATAAATAAATGTACTGAAGGCACATTTCAGGTTGGAGACAAACCTTGCAACTATTATTATAATTAGCATATGGCATTGTTACATTAATTAGGAGAGTACAATTTGTAATGTAACAATGCCATATAATTATAATAATCATGATAATAATCGTTGGAAGGTTTGTCTATTTACCCGCTCTATCAAGTACACAAGCTTGCACACTTCCTATGGTGCATCTCAGGAGGATGAGTTGGCTTCACACCAGAAAGATTGTGAAAGCTCTTCCTGCAGCAGCATCTGATTCCCCCTCCCTTCTCTGGAGTTGCTTCACAAAGGGGCCTCACAACCTGGAAGGCTCAAAGCTAGCAGAAATCTGCCTGCCTGCCTGCAATGACAGCCTCAACTCATCTCCCCATCAAATGTTTTGAACTGCAAGGTGGGCAGAAGCGGAGGCAACTGATGGGAGTTTATCCCGCCATGCAGTGCTAGAGCTCGAACCAATGGAGCAGGGTCCATCTCCAACGTGATTAAGCCATACTCAGAACTCAGTAGCCAATCTTGCAACTGTGTGTAACTTACTCTAAAGCAATGAAACATACTTTACGTTATTCAATTCACATGGGAAGAACAACTTACCTGGCTGCTCTGTTACATCCACTTTGGCAATGTTCACTTCAAGATCCTCGCTCCATTCGGCAAAGCTTTCCCATTCTGGCTGTAAATTCTGACAGGCAGGACACCAAGGAGCATAGCTGAAATTTAAAAAAACACAAACCCGTTTTATTTCCATAACTGAGAATAAAAACTACAGGCATCTTGGACTGCATATTTGCTATATATTAATAGGATTTATGAAAACTGTAGTGCCAAACATCTATGATAGTAGAGCAGTACTGGTTACAGTATAATAAATATTTAAGATTAAAAGGGGCAAAATTTTAAGGGAAGAACCTATGGCATAGTGGGAGGGGGGGCAAGAAGCACATATGATGGTGCTGATGGGAGACAGGGACTCCTGTTCTTAATTGCCTAGACTGGATGCACAAGTCAGTACATTGGCAATGGCTGAGCTGAGGGAGAAAATGTGATCTATTGCACTGAACAAAGGGGAGATGACTAATCGGATATACTGCGCTAAACAAAGCACGGAGAAAATGGGGCATATAGGGTTTAACACACCAAGAGACTGTGACTTGCACACCAGTCTTGACCTACTCATTTTTTTTGTTTCATTCAAAAGTAGGAACTATGTGCTTCTGCTTTCACTTCTGTAAACAGTGGCTGGTTTGAAACAGCAGAGTTCCTCCCATTGAGATATACTGGCTTGTACTGGGTAGAAACTCCCCTCCCCCAAAGAATTACCCAGTCAAAGAGCTAAAGAAGCTTCTTGGATGAGAAGCAAAATGCCTTCAAAGAAAAACCAGGAAGTTAGTTGCCTCTTGAAAAAGCACTTTATGGATTACCAAATCAAGGATGCAAAATTCCCTTTGGCCCATGTCCTTCAACCTTGGTTACTTTTAAGATGCATGGACTCTGTTCCCAGAATTCCCCAAGCAACATGCAAGCTGGCCGGGAATTCTGAGTGTGAAGGGTCAATATATCCTAAAATAACCAATATTGACAAACGCTGCTCTCAATCATTAAATCCCTAAGGAAGAGATAGGAGGGTCAGGGCATCCACTGTTCTCCTGATTGGCGAGTGAAACGGGGCGGAGGAGACTAAGCGAAAGGTGGAGCAGAGTTAGCCCTGAGCAGATACAGAATTCTCCTTTCTAGATGGCTGGACTAGATGGCCTTTGGGGGTCCCCTCTCCATCCTACGATTCCCCGGGCACTTCAGGGAAAATAGCGGCCCTTGACTTACAATTCCACCATCCATTCGCCCTGCAGCAGTTCTTGCCACGCTCCGTCAGTCAGTACTTTGACTCGATTCCTGCCGGCCAACGAGGGTCCTGGCACTATAAGCAGCAGCAGCAGCAGCAGCATCGAGGCGATCGCTACCCAGGCAGATCTCGCTGAGGAAACACGGAAAGGAATAACAGCTGCCATCATCTCGGACCACTTCCGCCCTGGCAGGGCGCCAGGAAATCAATCAGAAAGGATGCCGGGAAAAGAGGCGACTCATCCCCGGGAAGAGACCAGGGCGCGCGCTCGCGGGCGTTTCCTCGCTTCCGCTGCCCGTGGTTACGGGGTAGTGAGGGGTTCCTTTCCTCCCCGCCCTTGATTGATTTGGAAAACAGCGAACCAATCAACGACTCGCCTCTATCCTTTCGCCCCGCCCTCCGCCTCTCCCTTCTGCTTCCCCAGCTTTGGAGCGGTTTTCGTGACGGTTTCGGCGTCGCTCGTTCGCCGACTTTTCAAGGCGACGGAACTCCAGCTCCAGACGGATTAAAATAATCGAGAGATGCTATGACCAGCTGTTGTTTTTTCCTTTTCTTTTCAAAGGAATAATAATAACACGATATGTTTTAGAAATAATATTTCCCGCGTTGTTTTGTTTACTTAAATGCTTAGGGATGTCATTTCTTCTTCAATGAATAGGGCACTTTTTTTTTTGCTTAGTTTATTTAGTTTAATTTGTTAAGCATGTATGAGAAAACAAGAATGAACATAACATATAAACATATAAGTGTAAACTGGTATGAGAATATACATAAACGAGTACGAATAAATGGGAACAGTAGGACAGGGACGCTGGTGCGCTTATGCACGACCCCTTACAGAGCTCTTAGGAATGGGTGAGGTCCACTATAGACAGTTTAAGGTTAAAGTTTTGGGGGTTTGAATCTGTATGGCTAGTTATGTTATATATATAGTTATGTTATACAATAGAATATAACTCTTTATTGGCCAAGTGTGATTGGACACACAAGGAATTTGTCTTGGTGCAAATGCTTGTGTACAAAAAAGGAAAAAAGGATATACAAATACAAAAAGGAAAACATATATATATATATATATTTGTTTTCTGAGGTTCTCGCGGGTATTTGTATGTGGATCTTTGGTTGTTCGGGTTTTCTCCCGCGTAAGATTCAAAGTATCTAGGCAACGTTTCGATGAAGTCTCATTCATCATCATCAGGCCTCTGTCTTTGGCTCTTGCTTTTCACTCTGAAAATTTCACTTTGAATCTTACGCGGGAGAAAACCCGAACAACCAAAGATCCACATACAAATACCCGCGAGAACCTCAGAAAACAAATATATATATATATATACACACACACACACACACACACACACACACACATACATACATACATATATACATACATAACATAACTAGCCATACATCTTCAAATGTATGCCATCATATGGCAGATGAGATTCTGCCGAAACGTTGCTACAACTTCAATGACGTGGGAAAATACCCGAACAAAGCTGAATTATATATATATGTGTGTGTATCCTTTTTTCCTTTTATATACACAAGCATTTGCACCAAGACAAATTCCTTGTGTGTCCAATCACACTTGGCCAATAAAGAATTATATTCTATTCCAGTGAAAACGGGGTGATTTCAGAATCCACCCAAACTCTCTTGTTCAAATTCCAAATTCCTTCTCCTAAGTGTAATTGGGACCTTAAGTTGTCCTTGCTTAGTGATTGCCTCCTACATGGGAGGGTTTGCAGTTATGACAGTGACAAAAAGGTAATTTTGGAACTACTACTGGCATTTATGACCTTCATAGGTACATAAAGCAACTGTGTTGCTGATAATGTCAGCTGGTGTTCCATTCTAAATCCAAGAAAGAAATACTTAGACTCCATTAATCAGAGAAAAGATATCTTTTACTGGAAAAGGACAACAAAGGAATTCTGAATCTGAGAAAATGGGTGCTTAAATCACATATACAAAGTAATGGCAACGTTCCCACCCCCAATAGTTCAATTGGCTCATCCAATTAAAAGTTGTATATATCATCATGTGGGTATCTCCAGGTGGTGATGAGGCCTCTGTCCGTTGACCTTGACATATTTTGATAAAGAGTTGCAGCTGAGCATAGCATAGAAACCTAAGCAAGAATCTACCCTGCCCCCACTTATACAGTTCTGGTTTGTAACAACTACAGCTCACTTCCCATAACTATTCCCCCCTCCCCCCCCATTACTTATGACAGCCGAATGATGCAAAGCAAAGGGAGAAAATCTTGAAGGCTGACATAATTCCGGATGTGGTTGCAACATGAAGACTATGTGTAAAGGCGTAATCTAAGAAATTAATTTGAATGAGACAGTTAATTGGGCACTCCACCCAAAATATCTAAATAATGTTCATCTTCAGAGACTGAGTTTGTTATGATAGGTAGTAGAGTTTATCATAGAGTAATATACCTAGTCCACAGCTTACAAGTTTAGTGACCATTTAAAGTTACAAAGGCACTGAAAAATGTGACAATCATTTATCACATGACCATTGCAGCATTCCCACAGCTGTGTGATCAAAATTCAGATGCTTGACAACTGGCATGTATTTATGAATTTTGCAGTGTCCTGTGGGACCTTCTGAGAAGCAGTCAATGGGAAAGCCAGATTCACTTCACAATTGTGTTATTAACAACTGCAATGATTCACTTAACTCTGGCAAGAAAGTGGTAAATTGGGACAAAATTTACTTAACTATCTTGCTTAGCAACAGAAATTTTGGGCTCAATTGTGGAGGACAAGCTCTAAAAGTGAAGGACTACATCTAGTACAAAATGAAAGTTGGCTTTTGCCCAGAAGGCTTGCTGTTCTGGGATGTATTTTTGTGTATCTAAAAATTCTTTTTCTAGAAATTCTTTTTTGTTCCTGCTGAGATAAATTATTCACCCAAATTTTTGTAAGTCAAATATTTAATATCCCATTTTCTATCCAATTATATCTTGTTTTAATTTTTTTGAATAATGGTTTTTTTCCTCTTTTAAGGGTCTGTGCTTCATTTACATTCCATATTAAGCATAATGAGGCCAAAAATTTAGAAAAGTCAATATCTATAACTACTAATTCAGGACCATCCCTTTCACTTTCCAGTTGCACTTGTAAAGGTTCATCCTGTCACACCCATTTGTATTGTCTCCAGTGTTTTGAATGTTGTAAATGTTCCCTTGCTTTCTTGCACAATTTTATGTTGTTTGAAAATAAACAAAAATCTTCCAGTTTGTTCCATCAAAATGCATTGTTTTTCTGATTGTCAATCTGACAGAAAGAAGCAGTGTTTTCTTTGATGCAGTATTTTAATCATATGTCTTTAAGAACAAATGCATCTGTATTATTAATCTTCAATCTTGTGTTAAAATGCTTCTACAGAACTTAGTCTCTTGTCTTCTTCCTAACAAAATGGAGCAGGACAACCCTTCCTAATTTTGCAAATTCTATGAACGTTGCCATTTTTTGCCTCTGCATCCTCTTCATCTTTTCATCTCTCCAGTAATAACTTTTGTCTTGCTTTTCAAAAATTATTTATCATTTGTTTTACATGTCTGGTCACTCCTCTCTTCAAAAGCTCCTTGTGATTCAGAAGTCATTTTATGTAAATCCTCAAACATTTTCTCAAGTAATTCTGGTGTAATTCCTTTCTGAAAGTTGTGCTAACAATCCCCATTCTCCTGTTTTTCCTGCTCATCTGATGATTGTCATTCTAATTTTGCAATCCAGAAAGGAAAGTGTCTCAGTTACAAGAGGGAAAGTAAAATGCAGGCTCCCCCACCTTTTTTTTTCTGCAACTTTGATTCATTCATCTAAAATGGCACACTCCATAGTTGCAGTCACTATCACAATCTGGTTCACATTATCTTTGTCCTGTAAAATGTACCAATTGTCTGTTCCTAATGTTAAACAAATAATGGGCTCATGAAAGTCAGATCTGTTTTTTTGTTTAATTTCAATATTTTAAAAAAACACTTTCACCAAATTTAATATTTCAAAATTACTGTCCCATTTATCCATTTTTAACTTCTGACATCTAATTCCTGTTAAACTTTTTGCTGAAAATTGTAAATCCTTTATATCTTTTCCCCTTCTTCCATATTTCTTTATTCAAAAAGAATGTTGAGTTATTGGTAATGAAATATGTAGAACTTTAGAACAGAACTATATAGAATATATAAAGATATATTATCATATTATAATTATGGAATGGATTTAGGTTGATAATATGAATTACTATAAGATAAATCAATTTAAAAATATGCAATATCTCGCATATGAATGAATAATAGTATAGTCAAATGATTGAGTAACAATGATAATAATGTACTTAGGAATATTTGATTGATAATATGAGAATATATACAAGTAATTGTAAGTGAGGACTATGGAGTGGATGCACAAAACAATTTGTAACCAACCGACACACTGTATGTGCGTAAGTGAAAGATTTATATGTTGTGTTTATATATGTTTGTCTAAAAAATACAAAAAAAATTGTTAAAAAAAAGAATGTTATTAACTGGTTTTCTTTTAACCTGCCTCTTTAATTGTAAATTGATTACATGCAACTGTGATTATAAAAGTGATACTTTGCAGATCCTATGTCCATTACAGGCTGCTTTATGGCTGTGAGCTTGATTGAACTCTCAATCCCCCCAGTAAAAATGTATTTACTAAATAATATTTCAGGTTTATCTGTCCTATTTCAAGATGAAGATAATCAAGTTAGATATCTAAAAAATTACAATCAAATTTTTTTTTGCCTTCATAAATTTATTTAGTAAACAGTGCACATTTCAAATGAAATACTATAGCAATAACAACAGAACATGACCACATTTAGCAAACAAAGGAGAAAATTATCTGGTGGCTTCCTACTCAACTACCATCTTTGTAAAGAAAGATGGCAGAGAGAGAAAGAACATGAAACTCCGCTGGTAGGAGAATGCAACATAAAACAACACTGCCTGTCTCCTAACATCCACAATAAATCCCTCTGTGCAAGTTAGAATCTTACCAAAAGCTACTGTGCATGAAGGTTTAGAATTGGGTCACAGAAGTAAAAACACAGAATAGCATGTAAGGCAAAGAAAAGGAATTCTTTCTCAGTTCTTTTATGAATGAAAGGAGATTTAAGGCAAGTAGGAGAGTGAGCTCATATTCTGTCATAGAATGGAAGGAGTTAACAAATGAACCTTGGTAGATGGA